GGCATTAGTAAGAATCTCATAAGGAGCACACAACCTGGATTCCTTGTATGCACAGTTCACAGTAGGGTTTGCCTCCTATGAGAATCTAATGCCTGGAGCATTAGGAGGCAGAGCTCAGGTGATAATGAGGGCTCGCACCCTGTCACCTCCTGCTGTGTGGCCCAGTTCCTAACAGGCCACCGACTGGTACCTGTTCACGGCCCCGGGGATGGGGATACCTGTGCTGTGGGACCTGGAATCATGGATACAGTGTTACAGCTCAAAAGGAGGAGTGGAAGATCTGAACCTGGCCTTTGCATATCTCTTTAAGTCAGTTGGGTCATTAAGGCATCCATACCAAAGGTGGAGTGTCTATGCTCAAGAATTAGGCTTTGCTTCTCTCCTCCTGCCTCCTATTCTCAAGATGACTCAAGTATCTATCTCTTTTCTTCCTCTATCATGATCTGATGCTGTGATGGATCTTGGGAAGAAAGACAGTTCCCCTATTAGTCCAAGCAGAAACAACTTAAGCAGCACTTACAGGTTTTTTTCCCAATTGATAACGGGGTAGGTTTGGAGATTCCACACTCCACAGCTCTGATGATGTTACTGCCAAGGTTTGTGCTAAGGAAGACTTTACCTCACCTTCTGTTACCTGGCGGTGATGTTGCTGGGTCCATTTGTGTTAGAGGCAGGTGCAGATCTATGAAACTGATGATTTCTGAGGATTGTTCTTGTGTTGAACCTGATTCTCTTTAACTTTCTTCTTGTCTTTCATCCCAATCCAAGACACATCTCCACAGCTGGCTCTAGCCCTGTCTCCATCATAAAGCCTTTCATGGTTACTCAGAAACATAGTGACCTCTTCTTTCATCTATCTCCTTTGTAACTTATAAAACTTCCTTTGTCTATTGTGCTTTTGTTAGTACGTATAGTTTTTGAAAATTGGATAGTATGGTCCTCGGTGGCAGAGATGGTGGCTTAAATTTTTCTTAATAAACGTTGTGGTCTGGATATCTTCTGTTCTGATGCTGGAGAAATAACCTCAGCTGGGTAGCACCATGTCTTAAGTCCATGATTTGGGGCCTCAAGAAAGTCAGTGGAAGCTCTAAGATGACGATTTATGGTAGTTTTGCCTGAAGCTGAAGGTCAGGACCTCCTTTTCTGTACCCAGAATCCACCCCTAGTTTTTAAAAGGCACCAGGAAAACATTCAAATAATAAAAAGGACCAGGAATTCTCAACTGAAAACAATGATGATATTAATGTCATTTTCACGCCAATCCTAGCTGGCACCAGCAATCTACGTGTGCTGGGAAGTTTGGGTTCTCGGTCAAGCTGAGTTGAAACTTGGACTGAAGTGTGGCCATAGTGATCTCCTGAGACATCAGATAGTCATCTCAAAAATGAAAACCAGCTTCTCTTTTTCTCCTTGAAGCATGCTTATTTTCTCGGAAAACCTATTTTACAAAAGAGAAAACTTCAAAGAAAATACTTTAGGTCAATCAGGAACTTAATACCTGAGAAGGGCTGGGCTTTCTTTCTGATCATAGTTATTTTAAGTGGTCCCCAGGCTATCCCACAATTTAGGGAGGGAAGGGCCAGAGACAATCCTACAAGACTGATAAAGAACATGCCAAGGGTCCCTCTGATGGCCTTCCTTTGACAGTGTCGTGTACATCTCATCTCATTTTATTTTATTTAATTAATTCATTTATTAAAAAAATTTTTTTTTGAAATGGAGTCTCACTTTGTTGCCCACGCTGGAGTGCAAGTGGCATGATCTCGGCTCACTGCAACCTCCACCCTCCCGGGTTCAAGCGATTCTCCTGCCTCAGCCTTCTGAGTAGCTGGGAATACAGGCATGTGCCACCAGGCCCAGCTAATTTTTGTATTTTTTAGCAAAGACAGGGTTTCACCATGTTGGCCAGGTTGGCTCTGGACTCCTGACCTCAGGTGATCTGCCTGCCTTGGTCCCCTAGAGTGTTGGGATTACAGGCATGAGCCACCATGCCCGGCCTCACCTCATTTTAGAATTCCAGAACGGATATACTCCTAGGAGGGTTTGGTTTGTAAACCAAGAATAAAATTTGAAGGCCCGCCAACCATCTGAATGGACTTCCTCCTCTAGGCCGGGGACCCTCTAAGTTTAACCTGAAAGGCTGGTTCAGACCATCATGGGAAGTGAGGGTCCGGGAAGTGTGGGTTTCACATGCTTCCTTGTACCCCTACAGCATGACCAACATCAACACAGATCTGAAGTTCTGGTAAGAAACATTTGCAGTTGATTCTCTCTGAAATCTGTTTGCTACTTGGAGGCTTCATCTGCACGATAAAATTCTGGTCTCCACAACCTTTTATTATGACCCAGACATTCCTGTCTATTAACAATAACTCTTTCAACCAATTGTGGATCAGAAAATTTTTAAATCTCCGTACAACCTGGAACCCCCCACAACCTTCTAGTCATCCCCGCTTTCTAGACTGAACCAATGTATATCTTAAATGTATTTAATTGATGTCTCATGTTTCCCTAAAATGTACAAAACCAGCAGCTGCACCCCGACATCTTGGGCACATATTCTCAGGACCTCCTGAGGGCTGTGTCATGGACCATGGTCACTCATATTTGGCTCAGAATAAATCTCTTCAAATATTTTACGGAGTCTGACTCTTTCGTCGATAGGTTCTTACTTGGAGTCAGGGTGGATGTCAGCCTAAATCCTGTACTATTTTTCTCCATCCCATGTTCTATTAAATAGGAGGCTCTCTACTGGCTTAGAATGGTAACATACAATGTGTATATATTTTTGGGTGGCGAGGTAAAGCAGGGAATAGGGTTAAAACAATTTCTGTTATACTTTCAGTCTTCGAAAGAGAAATATCTTCATTTTGTCAAGACTTGAGGTAACACAAAAAAGTTTAAGGAACAAGATGTCAGTCATTCAAAGGTAGCAGCCAGCGATGAGCACTTTGATGCACATTCTATACGTGAAATGCTTATACTTACGAAAACAGGATGGTGTTACATATAGTGTTTTGTTACCTGATTTATTCACTTAAAATTGTGTAATGAATATACCTCTCAGGATAGACTGGGCTATACCATGGTACCCAACAAGCCCCTATTCTCGATATCTTAAACAATAAAGTCTTATGTTTTGCACATACACCTGGCCCATCTTGGGTCAGCAGTGGGGCGGCTTGGCACCTCCTGGTCACTGTGAACTTGGCCTTCGTGGAGCAGCCATTGCCCCAAACATTGCTAATCACTATGCTGAAGAAAAGGCAGTTCTGGGACATTGAACATTAACTTAATGCTCAGCTCAGAAGTGACTAATGCTACTTACATTCATAACTTATTGGCCAGAACTAGTCATGTGACCCTGTCTACCCACAAGGAGTAATCCCTCTGGCAGAGAACTAGGAAAATATCTGGAGAGCAACATTGAAGTCCAGTAAAATGAATGTTGATTTATGTTTGTAAATATAGGCACAGGCTCTTATTTTCAGTAGATGTGTTGTATTAATCACGTACATGAATCAATGTATCATAGACTACTTACCTGAACCACATTTTCAGGGCCTTTGAGGCTATTTCTAATTATGAGCAATTGGTTTAAAAGTTGCCAAAAATTGTCTGGGCACAATGGCTCACACCTGTAATCCCAGCACTTTGGAAGGCTGAGGAGAGCGGATCATGAGGTCAAGAGATCGAGACCATTCTGGCCAATGTGGTGAAACCTCGTCTCCACCAAAAATACAAAAATTAGCCAGGCATGGTGGTGCGTGCCTGTAGTCACAGTTACTCAGGAGGTTGAGGCAGAAGAATTGCTAGAATCCTGGAGGCGGGGGTTACAGTGAGCCGAGATTTCGCCACTGCACTCCAGCCTGGTGACAGAGAAAGACTCTGTCGCCAAAAAAAAAAAAAAAAAATTGACATGAAGTCTAGGTATATTTTTAAATTTTTTAAATCTACATTGTAAAATTACCCTCCAGAAAGGAAGGAGAATTTATTAACTCCCAGCAATAATAGTTTATACTTCTATTAGTTGATCAGATTTGCCATGAGTAATGTCCAAACAACCAGCTAAGATTTTTAAATTAGTCCAGAGGGGCTGGTTAATTAATTATTAATGAGATTTTTTTAAAGATAATTTTTGGTTGGGTGAAGTGGCTCACGCCTGTGATCTCAGCACTTTGATAGGCCAAGGTGAGAAGTTTGCTTGACCTAGGAGTTTGAGACCAGTCTGAGCAACATAGCGAGACCCTGTCTTTTCAAAAAATATAAAAATGAGCCAGATGTGGTGGCTCATGCCTGTAGTCCCAGCTACGTGGGAGGTTGAAGTGGGGGGAATTACTTGAGCCAGAGAGGTTGAGGCTGCAGTGAGCCGTGATCCCACCACTGCACTCCAACCTGAGCAACAGAGTGAGACCATGTAAAAAAAAAAAAAAAAAAAAAAAAAAAAAGATGATTTGATCACCTTCCCAAGTCCCTCCTCTGCCTGTGGAAGAATATAAGAAATCACCTAGAAAAGACCTGATAGAGAAAATTTAAAATAAGTTCAGTTTTATTTCAGAGTTTCCTGGAATTTTAAGTTGAATAATGAGCCCAGTAGAATTAAGACTGAATACCTTTGCTTATTTTAATAGACACAGTGGCAAAGAGTTTAACTTGAAGCCCCAAATAAAACAAAACAAAGTACAAATACTCTAACTATCTTTTTGTTCTTGTCATTTCATCCATTCTCCTCTTACAGATAGAAGAATGCTCAGGAGACGAGGTTGTGTGACATTGTGGGTTAAGAGTCAACCAGGTCTGACAGGGCTGAATTCTAATTCTGTCCTGGAAACAGACTCCCTTATAAAAAGTCAAACTTTTTTTCAGGATAGAAAGGGCTTTTGGTGAATTTGAATAGATTTCAACTCCCTTGTATAACTCAGTTATGACCTCACAACCATATTTCATGTCTCTTCTCCTTTTTAAAAATCACCTTTTTGATGGTCTCTTCTCTTTTATAGGTTGGACTCAGAGTCCCAAGGCAAGTCAGACTGTTGCAGAGGCTGGTAGGTATTTTCATGGTGTACCTTCAAAGTTTGTTCTCTCAGTCTTCTATTTATTTTGAACCTGGTATCCATTTTGCTTGCAGATCCTCCAAAATATGTAAAGTTGCTTGTAGAAAAATTCTGAGATGAAACAGCATAGCTGAGTCTTTTATAAGGCTTTCTTTAAGTGGATTTTTTTTTTTTTTTTTTTGGAAAGAGATATGATTATTTCAGTAGGACTAGAAACACAAAGGTCTTTGCAGGCTTATTTTTTTAAAGCCTAAATATAACTTTTATTTATTTTTGTGACATCCTTACCCAGGAAATAAGAGCTTTGTTGTAAAGTAAACAACTAAAGCAATCAAAGAATTCACATTTGTATACTAAAGCATCATGTAATGAAAGTTGGACAGACTCTCAGTGCATGCTGGAGGCTAAGAGATTGGAACTGGGCAAATGTTCAGAAACTCTAAGAGCTTATTTGAAACGACCTCAGTTCTTCCTCACTACTGTGCATGCAGTGAAATATCAAAATGTAGAGCCATGCCTTTAACTCTGGTGAGACATTTATTCAAGCTCCCGCTGCACCTGGCCAGTGTTGGAGCGGGTTCAGATTTCTTGTCCTTACCAATATCACAATCATGACCATCTTTGTTTAGATTGGGATTTGGGATTAAAACAATTCTTTTTTTCTGGGCTTTCTCATCTTCTTTCCTTCTAATGATCCTCCCCATACCCCAAGTTCATTACCCTTGTATTCCTTCTTTCATGCTTTTTTCCATGTTCACATAATCCTAGACAAACATGTATGAACATAAACATGTCAAGAATTGCGAAGGGGCTCAGATTTAAAGCTACTTACAAGCTAATAAATTAGTTACCATTTCATGGATGCTAGCAGAAAGCAGGAGACTCCTGGGTCAGAGACTCACAGTAATAGCAGTAGTCAGAGCATGTGTGACATTCCCACAGCCCAGTTCCTATAAGGTGATAGAGACAGCCAGGTAACACCTGCCATGCAGTTGGTTTGCATTGCATGAAAGGAGCCCACCCTTAACTTAGAGAACTTGACTCTTTAATAATGAGCACTGAGCCTGCCTGGTCTTTGCTCCTGGAGGGAGATATTTGCTTTATTATTCTGCACATTAAGCCAATCCATCTTCTTCCCTGAAGGGAGATAACACCTGTCTTCCAAGGCTGTTCATTGTACGTTTGTAAAGGTAGTTCAGCTAGATTTTCTGCTTGCAAATTGTGCAGAAACACCAGAGATTCATGGAGAATAGCCTCCCAACAATACATACATACACACATTCATTCATTCACTCATTCAGTCATTGAACAAATATTTTTTCAAGTGCCTGCCACTTGCCCAGACTATTCTAGGCATTGGAGATACAGCAATAAGAGAACAGACAAAAATACCTTGTCTTTCATAGAGCTTGAAATCTAAAGGGGGCAGTGATAGATAAAAAACGAAGTAAATAAATAAATCAATCGTAAGCATATTGATAATTGAGAAGATGGCAAGGGCCAGTGAGAAATAGGATGCAGCAGGGGAAGATGGGGGCCCAAGGTGCATTTGCACATGAGAGACTATGGATCATTGCTCTAAAAGCAGGGGCGCATGTGACAGCTCATGTTGACCGAGTGCTTACTGCGTGCCAGGCATTGTTCTGGGTGCTTTACGTGTCATGACGCAAGCAATTACTCCTTTTTTTTTTTTTTTTTTGAGACAGAGTCTGGTTCTTGTTGCCCAGGCTGGAGTGCAGTGGTGGGATCTCAGCTCACTGCAACCTCCTCCCGGGTTCGAGCGATTCTCCTGCCTCAGCCTCCTGAGTAGCTGGGATTACAGGCACCCACCACCACTCCTGGCTAATTTTTGTACTTTTAGGAGAGATGGATTTTGCCGTGTTGGCCAGCTGATCTCGAAGTCCTGACCTCAGGTGATCTGCCCGCCTCGGCCTCCCAAAGTGCTGGGGTTACAGGCATGAGCCACCCTGCCCTGGCCATCAATTACTCTTATAACAATTCTTTGAGGCATTTTACAGATGAGAAAACAGATTCAGAGATTGAGTAACTTTCCCAAGACAACACAGCTTGGAAGAGGTGGTAGAGCCAGGATTTGAGTCTAATTCAAGGTTCAAGTCCAGGCTCTTAACTAGTACACCAAATGGGCCTCTCAATTAGATATAATTCTATCTGTATTTATATCTATATATATGTGTTATAATTTACTAAACATTCTTTTATTGGTGAACTCTCAATTTATTAACAGGTTTTTTCCACCCTGTATACAATGCTTCAATAAACACTTTCATTTATTCTTTTATGTGTATATTTTCTTTTTTTTTTTTTAATTGCATTTTAGGTTTTGGGGTACATGTGAAGAACATGCAAGATTGTTGCATAGGTACACACATGGCAGTGTGGTTTGCTGCCTTCCGTCCCCTCACCTGTATCTGTCATTTCTCCCCATGCTATCTCTTCCCACCTCCCCACCCCCCCATCCCTCCCCCATTTCCCCCCAACAGACCCCAGTGTGTAGTGTTCCCCTCCCTGTGTCCATGTGTTCTCATTGTTCAACACCCGCCTATGAGTGAGAATATACGGTGTTTGATTTTCTGCTCTTGTGTCAGTTTGCTGAGAATGATGGTTTCCAGGTTCATCCATGAAGGACGTGAACTCATCGTTTTTGATGGCTGCGTAATATTCCATGGTGCATATGTACCACATTTTCCCTATCCAGTCTATCATCGTTGGGCATTTGGGTTGGTTCCAGGTCTGTGCTATTGTAAACAGTGCTGCAATGAACATTCGTGTGCACGTGTCCTTATAGTAGAATGATTTATAATCCTTTGGATGTATACCCAGTAATGGGATTGCTGAGTCAAATGGGATTTCTATTTTTAGGTCCTTGAGGACTCGCCACACTGTCTTCCACAATGGTTGAATTAATTTACATTCCCACCAACAGTGTAAAAGTATATTTTAAATTTTGCTGGGCTTAGTGGCTCATGCCTGCAATCCCAGCAGTTTGGGAGGCTGAGGCGGGTGAATCACCTGAGGTCCATAGTTCGAGACCAGCCTGGCCAATATGGTGAAACCTTGTCTCTACACAAAAATTAGTCAGGTGTGTTGGTGCATGCCAATAATCCCAGCTACTTGGGAGGCTGAGGCAGGAAGGTTATTTGAACCCGGGACTCGGAGGTTGCAATGAGTTGAGATCAAGCCACTGCACTCCAGCTTGGGTGACAGAGCAATACTCTGTCTCCCTAAAAAAATTTTTTTTTGATAGATGTCAGATTAATTTTTGAATACTATTACTGTTAACACTATCTGTATTCATTTCATGTCTATCAGCAATGATGAATACACACATTTCTGCAAACGATTGATAAAATTACTCTTTTTCTCTTTTAAATTTGCCAGTCTTTACTTAGGAAGTAATATCTCATTGTTCCTTTAACTTGCATTTCCCTGCCTGTGTATGAATTTGGAATTTTTTTCTTTTATTGCTCAAACCGGTCTCCATAACAAGGATCTGAACATTTTAAATTATGCTTATTAGCTATCCACAGTCAAGTCTCCATAACAAGGATCTGAACATTTTAAATTATGCTCGTTAGCTATTCACAGTCATTCTCCTGTGAGTTGCTTTTTTTTTTTTAAAGGTCCTTTGCCTTTCTTTTTCTTCTTTCTTTTCTTTTCTTCTTTCTTTCTCTCTCTCTTCTTTCTCTCTTTCCTTCTTTCTTTCACTCTCTCTCTTTCTTTCCTTCTTTCTTTTTCTCTTCCCTTCTGTCTTTTCTTTTTTGACAGAGTCTGGCTTTTGCCCAGGCTGCAGTAGTGCAATCTTGGCTCACTGTAACCTCTGCCTCCCAGGTTCAAGTGATTCTCCTGCCTCAGCCTCCTAAGTGGCTGGGATTAAAGGCATGTGCCACCATGCCCGGCTAATTATATTTTTAGTAGAGACGGGGATTCACCGTGTTAGCCAGGATGGTCTCATCTCCTGACCTCATGATCTGCCCAGCTCGGCTGCCCATCTTTCTATTGTGTTTTTAATCCACCTCATTGTCAATTTGTCAGAGAGCTTTGTATGTTGTGGATACCTTCTCTCTTCTAAACTGGAAGATTTCCTCTCGAAATCTATCATTTATTAACTTTGTTTATGATATATTTGCCACGTAAAAGTGCTCAGTTCCTAAGTAATAAATAGTTTATGTTTTTCTTTCCAGCCTCTAAGTGTACAAAGATTTTCTTGACTCCCTGGCTTAGACCATTTTATAACCTCTTAGATTTTCTTAGAAACTTCTTAGAATTTTGAAAGTCTTACTTTTACAAGAATCATAAAGTTTTAACACAAACTTTATTGACCACTCAGTCGATACTGGAATGATCCTCCCAGTGGTAGACCTGGCGCTTCACTCTCTTGCGTGAATGTCTTCAGTGAGTCCACATCCCCCGTGGTATAAACTCCAAGGACACGTGTGACCCTGTGTCTGGCGGCTCCTGCTTTTGCCTCTGGAGCTCAGTTCATCCTTTGACTCTCCTTCTAGCCTGTACTCTTGCCATCTCCCTCCAGTTGTAGTTCTCTGAATGGTCCATGCTTGAATTAACGAATAGAATGTGAATGGCAGCAGCTGGTACTCCCGTAACATTGCCAGGACCGCAGGAATTTATTTGATTTTATTCTGAATTAATTAGACACCCTTTTTATGAAGCTCCCTGGCATCACATACACACAAAATATTTACTCTTTGGAAAGCAGGGGGATCTTTGTGTGTGAGTTTCCATGGTGCTGAACCGATCCTGGCCTGGCTCTCCCAAGATGATTTGCTGCCATCATTTAACCTCCTGACTGCAGGAACTGTCCTGGTGTCTGCTTTGCAGCAGGTATTCTAGAGTTTGTACTCAGGGTTTGTTTCCAGCAGGTGTGGTAAGACGCACAGGCACAGAAATGACTGATGTGAAGGAGGAAGCTCATACTCACAGGTCCCTGGAGGCAGAGGCGGCAGCATGCCACA